TTATTCATAATCAGGCAAAATGTGGAAGCAACCCAGATGCTCTTCAATAGGTAAATGGACAAACAGTGGCACATCCCAACAATGGCACAATGGAATATTATTCAGTGCTAAAAAGAAATAAGCCATCAAGCTATTAAAAGACATGGAGAAAACTTCAGTGCATATGCTAAATGAAAGAAGCCAATCTGAAAAGGATACATCCTGGAAAGGGCAAAACAATGGAGACAGTAAAAGGATCAATAGTTGCCAGAGGTTCATGGTCGGGGGTGGGGGGTGGGTGGGAGGATTAATAGGTGGAGTACAGGGGGTTTTTAGGGCAGTGAAACTATTCTGTATGATGCTGTAGTGGTGAATATATATCATTATACATTTGTCAAAACTCATAGAATGTACAACACAAAGAGTGAACCCTAATGTAACCTATGGACTTTAGTTAATAATAATACTTCAAGTTTGCTCATCAGTCATAACTCTGTACCACATTAATGCAAGATGTTAATAACAGGGGAAACTGTATGGCTGGGAGAGATTGGGGCACATAGGGAAACTCTCTATACTTTCTTTCTTTTTTTTAGTGTTCAATGATTCATTAGTTGCATATAACACCCAGTGCTCATCACATCGCGTGCCCTCCTTAATGCCCACCACCCAGTTACCTCATCCCCCCACCCACCTCCCTTTCCACAATCCTCAGTTGTTTCCCGGAGTCAAGAGTCTCTCATGGTTTGGCTCCCCCTCTGGTTTCTTCCCATGCAGTTTTTCCTTCCTTCCCGTATGATCCTCTGCACTATTTCTTATATTCCACATATGAGTGAAACCATATGATAATTGTCTTTCACTTAGCATAATACCCTCCAGTTCCAACCATGTTGATGTAAATGGTAATTATTCATCCTTTCTGATGGCTGAGTAATATTTCATTGTTTACATGAACCACATCTTCTTTTTTTAAATCTTACTTTATTATGTTATGTGAACCACATCTCCTTTATCCATTCATCTGTTGAAGGACATCTCGACTCCTTCCACAGTCTGGCTATTGTGGACAATAAACTGTCTATGTTTTCTACTCAATTTTTCTATCCTAAATCTACTCTAAAACATAAAGTCTATTAACTTTAAAAAATACCACTTACAGTATTACAAAAAACAAAACTCTTTAGTCATAAATCTTACAAAGTATGCAATGGCCCTTTATGGAGAAAATTGTAAAATCTTATTGAAAAACTCCCTTCAAATATGCAAATAATGGAGAAATGTATCATAATCTTGGATAGGAAGATTCATTATCTTAAAAATACTCATGTGGGGAATGGGCAAAATGAGTGAAGGGGAGTGAGAGATATAGGCTTCTAGTTACAGAATGAATAAGTCATGGGATAAAGGCACAGCATAAGGAATAAAGTTAATGGTATTATAGCAGCATTGTATGGTGACAGATGGTAGCTATACTTGTGGTGAGCACAGCATAATGTATAAATTTGTCAAATTATTACGTTGTACACCTGAAATTAATGTAACATTGTGTGTCAACTATACTTCAATAAAAATATTCATTCCTAAATGTATCTATATGTTAAATGCAAGTCCAATAAATTTCCCAAGGTTCTTTTGTAGAATACAACAAGTTAATTCCAAAATTTATGCTAAAAAACAAAGGGCCAAAAGTAGCCAAGACATTCCAAACAAATGATCCAGAGAGGAGGATAAACTGCCAGATATCGAGATTTATTGTAATCAACAGAAATAATGTGCAAAAAATGCTGTGTGCTTATGATTCACCTCTGATAATAATTAAGGAATAATTAAGGAATTGTATGATAAGAAATTTGCAACCTGATGTTACACCGATGCCTAAAATAATTTTATGTTTCTTTCACATCTTCCTAATAAAAATAATTCAAGGGAAAAACTATAGTAATTAACACCATATGGTTTTAGTGCAAGGGTAGACAAACAGTCTATTGGAATAGAATGGAGTCCAGAAATAAATGCACACATACACAGTATCTTGACTGATGACAGAGAAGTAATTATAGATTATTGAAAAGGATGGACTACATAATACAAATGATTCTGGGAGAACAGTTTATCTAAAAAAAAAGAAAAGAGAGAAATCCCTATTTTGCACCATATGAAAATGACTTGTACTTATACTGAAGATTGTACTTGGACTTAAATGTAAATGTGAAACTATAAGATGTTTAGAAGACCACACAAGGGTACAACTTTATGACCTCAGATTAGAGAAGCAAGCGAAAACCAACAAGAAAAATGGTGAACTCAGCTACAATAAAATTAAGAACTTCTTTTCATTAAAAAACCCTAAGGAAATTTACAAAGACAAGCCATGTGTTGGAATGAAATATTTAAGTAAATAAAGCTAATAAAAAATTAATATGTACAATATATAAAAATTTTTCTAAAAATCAGTAAGAAATTATAACCTAACTTAAAAACTGAACAAAAGACACATTTTGAAGGAAATGAACTGTACAGGGTCCATAAACTTATAAACATATGCTTAAGATCATTTTAATAAAGAAAATGTAAATTAAAACTAAAATGAGATATATTTCATACCTACCAAATTGACAAAGGCAAAAAAGTTAGAGAATATTTGTTGACAACAGGAACTTACATCTACAACTAGTAGTAATGTAACAACTACTTTGGAAATGTTGGGTATTACCTGCTGAAATTGGCATGCCCTTACCCTATAACCTTGCAATTACCCTATAACCTAGCAATCATATTCCTTGGTTTGGAGAAACTCTTTTATAAGTGCATCTAGAGGCCTATAAAATATAGTCATTTTAGTATTGTTTGAAATGTGCGAAAACTTGAAAGAATTACCCAAGTATCTATTAATAGTAGGATACATTGCGGTATATTCATACAATGGGATACTATGCAGCAGTAAAAATGAATAAATTATAGTTACATGCATCTTACAAAGCTGAATCTCAGGAACATAATAAGTGAAAGAAGCAAGTCACAAGAGAAAATGTGGAGAAAACATGTGATATGATTCCATTTATGTAAGGAACAGGCAACACCAAACAATATACAGTAGGGATACATGAACAGTAAAATTATAATAAGAAGCAGGTGAATGTTTAATTTAACATTAAGGATGGTGTTTGCCTGAAGTCTTTGAGGAATCGGGAGAGGTTTATAAGAGGCTTCCAAGGTACTAGTTAGGTGTTAATTTTATAATTTTTAAACTGTACATGAACAATTTATATATTCTTTTGTATGTATTATGTACTTCATAAAATTTTTAAGGGTAAAGCATTAGGACAAAAAAAGGGTAAAGCGTTAAGAATAAGCAAAATACTTTGAAGACTAAAAATGAAGTGAGGGAACTCAGACTAATGGAACAAAATAGAGAATCCGGGGGAAATGATAAAACTACATTTTTACCCAACATCATGCCAAAAATCTTTGTCATTTTTCAGGTAGATTAAAGAAGTAAGTATGAAAATAAAATCTTTAAAATCCTTAGAAGAAAAGTTTAAAAATCATTTTTATAACTTCTGGGCAGGGAAGAATTAAATAAGTAAGATTAAAAAAGTATAACTTGTAAAAAAAAGAGTGATAATTTTCATTACATTAAAATTTAAAATTTCTGTGCATCAAAAGTCATTGGGAAAAAATAAACAGAAGGCAATATCATGGAAGAGCTATTTGGAACACTTATTCCTAACAAAGGAGTAGAATATGTAAAGGACATACTAAAAACTCTTATTTATCAATGCTGAAAAAAATATATTTAAAAATGTGCAAAAAATAGAAACAGGGAATTCATGGAAGAGGGAACCTGAATAAACTCACGAAAATATGTTCAGCCTCACTAGTAATCAGGGAAATGCAAATTTAAAACATCCCTTAGACTGGTAAAATTTTTAGTCTGATAACACCAAATTTTGATTCAGATATGAGAAACTGGAAGTCCCAAACACTGTTGCTGATTGTATAAACTGTTATGACCACTTTGGATTGCAATTTGGAAATACTGAGTAAGGTTAAAAATGTGCATACTCTATGATCCAGACACTACCCTGTTAGATATGTACCCTAGATTCTGGTTCTTCAGATTGCTGGGGGTTCCTGAGAGCCTTTAAGGGGGTCTACTAGATCAACTATTTTCATAATAACACTAACACATTGTTTTTTTGTGGGGTTTTTTTTGTTGTTGTTGTTTTGTTTTGAAGATTTTTATTTATTTATTTGAGAGGGAGAGAATGAGAGAGAGCATGAGAGGGGGGAGGGTCAGAGGCAGAAGCCGACTCCCTGCTAAGCAGGGAGCCCCATGGACTCTATCCCGGGACTCCAGGATCATGACCTGAGCTGAAGGCAGTCACTTAACCAACTGAGCCACCCAGGCAGCCCACATTATTTGTTTTTATCTCATGAGCATACAGTAGAGTTTTTAAGAGGTTACATGACATATCATATGACAACAGATTGAATGAAGAAATAGGTAGGAAAATCTAGATGTTAAAGAGATTTGCAAAGATATAAAACAATGGCACTCTTATAAAGTTTCTTTTGTTTTGGAAAATAACAGGTTTTCTTTTTCACAAAAATGTTATTTCTAAATGAACAAAGAATTATTTAAATTTTCTCAGCTTTAATTTCCATTTCTGTTAAAGAGCATTAACTACAACCTACATAAACAAAAGTTCTTTGGGGTCTTCAATAATCCATGAGTCTCCAACTGGACTCATTTGCCAAATATTTGCTAAGTACTTTCTTGGTGCCAGGCTCTGGACTGGGTTCTTTATGGCACAGAGGGACACAACACACCCCAGCTCCATCTTCCCTGTGACTCTAGCTGAATCTGGTTGATTCCTCCATAGACAGGTGACCCCACTGAAGCCTCAAGCTATTTTGTCTATAACACTGAAAGCCTCAGCTGCTTTCCTCCTACCCCTGAAATGTTGCAATTTCCTACTTGTTCCACCATCATGTTACCAGTGCAGTCATCTACCAACCTCAGGGCCCAGGGCCTTGGAAGATTCCAGTTAGCTCCAGTGGCATCTGTGCTCCTAGTTTCAGTCATATAAGTTGCCAGGTCATGGGGGAAAAAAATGGAAACAGACCACATCTGTGCCCATATTTACTTGCCAGCTGAGTTCAACTAGTTACCACCACAGAATCTTTGATTTGAATGCTGTTCCCTCTTAGCCATATTACCCACTCATTCTGGGATCTTAAACGTGACCCCAGAGAGCTATTGTTATTAAGATTATGGTACTCTTGGGGCACCTGGGTGGCTCAGTCGGTTAAGCATCTGCCTTCGGCTCAGGTCATGATCCCAGGGTCCTGAAATTGAGTCCTGCATCGGGCTCCTCAGCTCAGCTTGCTTCTCCCTCTGCCTGCCGCTCCCCCTGCTTAAGCTCTCTCTCTCTGACAAATAAATAAAAAGATCTTTTAAAAAGAAGATTATGGTACTCTTCATAAATACCAATATATTACCACCGTTAACTCATCTGAGCATGTGGGCATTATTGGCCACTGACAGGACTGCCTAATGCACTCAGATTTCATTCCACAAATTTTTGGCTCTCCACATTTTTTTGAAGGTCACCTGTGTGCCAGAGCCTGGGAGATCTACTCTATCCAAATGTGTGTCAAATACATCAGTGTCATTTTCTTCACCAAATCCTTGTAACAGCTCTGACAGCTAATGATATCATCTTTATACAGACCCAGAACATACGTGCATTTCAGTGCTAATGTTAATGCTTCTCGGTTGCTGGTGCCATTTGAAAAATGGAGTACGGTTGTAATAACGTCAAGAGGGACCTGCTTTCATGGACTTTGTGGACTGTCCATTTATGGAGTGGGATATCTCTCCATGGGTTCTCTATCTATCCATCATCTATCTATAAAGTATCTACTTTTATCTATCTATCAGTGTGTTTTGATATACATACATAGATGTATCTCTCTCTCTCTCTCTCTCTCTCTCTCTCTCTCTATATATATATATATATATTCATATGTGTGTTGTTCCCTCATTTGATATTCCCAAGAAGGGTTATTATACCCATCTTAGAGATAAGGGAGGGCTCAGAGGCAAAAACTTTTGGTTAAGCCACTTGTCCAAAGTCATAGAGCTCCTAAGTGGTGGACCATGGCTTCTTGCTCAGTCTTATATGACTTCCATGAGATTTCTTGACACAGTTCCCCAACCCCATCCTATAGCCTTCTCTGACTCCTTAGTAACCATCTCCCTTGCATGGCCCTAATCCAAAGAAGCCCAGAGTAAAAAATTAACGGAGTGGATAGCTTCCTCAGAGCCTACCCAAATTTGCCATGGGTCCTACTCCCAAGCTTTCAAGATTCACAGGGAAAATCTGCTTCTTCTACCATGACAGCTCTTCGGAAATGGCCCCTGTAGATTGTTTCTGCCATTAACTAGCTGTGTTACCTTGACTGTCACTCCCTTCTGAGCCTTGGTTTCCTTGCCTGTTGATTGAAAAAAAAAATGGATTAATGATCTAAGTTACTTTCTAGCTCTGAGATTCTATAATTCTAAGATACAAAAGAAGTCAGGTCTTAGTAAAAACCAAACTACTCTGATATGAATTTCCAAGACTAGAGAGCACACTTGTGGATTAGCTGATCTGTAGAAGGCACAGATATTTGACAGAACATAACCTCTTGAAAAGCTGAAAACCAAAGCAGCCCAATCCCACACCATTTGATCAAAGTTGAAACACAGCAAAGCAAAACATCAAGCCCAATTCAGCTGCCACCCCTCTCCAACCTGACTCATGAATGTCAATTGCCAAGTGGCTTCACATGATCCCTTATAGGCAAAGTACCTGCTAGTGTGAGGGAATAAAAGAAGTACCGACCTGGAAAGTAAACAATCTAAGTTCAGGTCTCAGCCCAGCCACTTTTGGGCTGTTTCACAACCCTGAGCTTCAGCTTCCACGTCAATAAAGTGGGATAATAATTCCTGCCTTGTGTGGCCTTCACTGGATTGTTATGCAGTGTTTTAGTGGCTGTCAAAATGCCTTAAAAACTGTAATGCAGTCAATGTGAATTTAATTTAATGAGTTCCTTGAGAACAAGAACCAAGATATCACCAGGCCCAAGGATTCACGGAATTCAGTATGACCAGCCAGACAGGGAGGTACCTGTCACACATCAAATTTCCCCTATAAGTGTTTTGATAAAAGCCAAACAATGGAATCTTCCTAAAAGAATGCAAAGAAAGAGCTAATAACTGAGGCCAACACTTGATTTAAGAGTAGGATTCAGTTTGATCACAATCACAAATGATGCACTTACCTTATGTGCCCAGGACCAGAGGAGGGTGCCTATAAGCCCAGCCAATCTGGATGGCTCCTGGGAGGGCCAGGTCTTTCTGTTGTTGACCACTCAATGGCAAGTAGTGGTGACATGCTTTGTGGGCAGAAAATACCTATCTCCCATGGAGAGGAGGATAGCACTATCCAGCCTGGTGATCTTCCTTCTGAGATAGGTTCCCTCATTTCTTGTCCAGAGTGGTCTTTGCAGAAGCCCCAGGGGAACAGGCTGTTACTCCTGGGCTCAAACAGCTTGGTGATCCTTAAAATGTCTCAATCTAAAAGCCTAAGGAACTACAAAGAATAGAATTGGCTAGTTGACAAGATCCTCTTTGTTGTATGACTCATTCTCTTCACCAGGAGACTCACAAGTAAATTGCCACAGAAAGGATCCTTTTTGTGGATATTCCTCTGGTGTAGGCAGCCAGAGTCAACCGGAAATGAAGCACTCTAAGGGACTTTGAGAACCTCGACAGCCAGTTGGACAGGTGGGTGGGCAGTGGGGCAGGTGGGCTGGCAGGCAAAGGCTCTAGCTTGGTGCCCAAGGACCTGTTGGGAGTGGGAAGAACAGTGACCAGAAGGAGCTAGTTGGCTAGGAGGGAAGAAGACTGAACTCAATCATTTGCTCACAAGCAGACTGGAATCCAGTCTAGATATTTGCAGTTGTTGAAAATCTTCAGATGTTTTGGAAGAGCAAAAGGAGTATTAGGTGTCAAGCTTTTATTCTTTATTTTGTCCTGAGAGTTAGAAGAAGTAGGAGTTCAGTCTGCTGAGCCTGGACCAGGGGTGAGCCTGCTCAACAGACCTCTTCCCAATGACATTGACTACTCAAACTCCACATTTTTCCATTTTCCAAGCTCTAGCCAAACAAAACAAAACAAAACAAAACAAAACAAAACAAAACAAAAACAAAAAAAACCCTCAAGCTCCTCAAAATATCAGCAAGAAGCTGGTCTAGTTGCCCCATAAAGAGCCACTCCTGAGAACCACACTGCTCCATGCCCAAATCAGATCCAAGTCTTCAGGATGACAGTGGCCTTTGGATTTTGTTGTTGTTGTTTGGTCCTTGGTTGCCTCATGGTAAAGCTGAGTACAGAGTACCTAAGGATTGTCTACAGTGCCTCCTGGATCATCACTGCCAATAATCTCATGACAGTTCCTCAAAATTCAATGTCTCTAACTAAATTCATTATCTACACTTCCACACTTACCCACTTCCACATCTGCTTCTATCTCAGTGACTGCTGGTGTTCCTACAACCTCAAGTTAGAAACCTGGGAAGCAGCCTAGATTTTACCACTGATGTTAAGCTTGCTCACCTTGTGCTAAGGCCAGTGCTATGTAGTTTATGTATATTTTGATTACCTAATCCTGTTGATCTTATCTTCTTGATATCACATGAAACTTGTCACTAGTAAGTTCAGCCTTGCACCATCTCTTGTCTGAACACTTGCTGTGACTTCATTCGTTCATTTATTCAACCAATATTTATTGAGGTTTTACCATGTGCTAGTCACTGTGCCGAGGATTCAATAATAAGCAAAACATATCAAGTCCCTCCTCTCATGGAGCTTACGTTCCAGAAGAGACAAGGGTTAAGCCAGTTGTTCAATCCATTCTCACACTACAGCCAGCCTGCTCTTTCTAAAACACATATCTAACCTTTTAGGTCACTACCATGCAACCTTCAGGATAAGGTCCAAACTTGTTAACTTGGCTTCAAGGCTTCACAGGCCTTTCCCAACTTTCTTTTTCAAAGTCAAATTCCAGTTTCCCTCCCTAAGACAGATGGGGACACACATATACACACTTACATCCCTTCTTTCTGCTTCCAACATCCTATCAACCAGCCAGACTTGACTGAAACCATGCTCTCCTAACAGCTCATGCACAACCACACCTGCATGGCTTCAGAGTTTCTCTTGGAAAACCAGTCCTTGGGGGCTCTCCCCATCCCAAAGGCTGGTGTCCCAAGAAACCAGATTGCCCATAATGGGGCTGAATGTTGGAAGAAAGCCTTGGCACCCCCACTTCCTCTGCCTGTAAAGGCTTCCCCCCTGTACCTGGCTAACTCTTACTTATCCTTCAGAACCCTTGGATGGTTCCTTCTCATGCAGGCCTTCAAGGTACCCCCTTCCTGAATTTCCCCTGCAGCTCCCTCCTGGATGAGGTACCCATCCTTTGTGTGTCCCAGAAAACATTGTACTACATATAGTAGATGTCAAAAAACAAATTTTAAAGTTCATATAGATAGATAAAGGAACTAGAAGAGCCAAAAAATTTTAGAGAAAAAGAACAAAGTCATAAGACTGACATTATTTGACTTCAAGGGCCCATAGAACACACACACACACATTATAATCATATAGAATATATTTTGTGACCAAAATGAAATCAAACTGGATGTTAATAACAGAAAGATAATAAGGAATTCTATGAACGCATGGAAGCTAACTAACACACTTCTAAATAATGCATGGCTCAAAGAGGAAGTTTCAGGGAAATAAAAAAAAAATACATTGAACTGAATGAAAATGAAAATACAACATACCAAAATGTGTGGGACACAGCTGAAGCAGTGCCAAAAGTGAAATTTATGGCACTAAATGCATAAAAAAGGAAAAGTCTCAAATAAATAATCTAAGCTCACACCTTAAGAACCTAGAAATAGAAGAGCAAAATAAGCCCCGAGGAAGCAGAAGGAAGGAAATAATAAAGATAAGAGCAGAAATTGACAAAATT